GCTAGGGAATCTAAAACAAGGGGCCACGGTCTCGGGATAGGGAACCAATTATGTATAACTGAGACAAAGAGAGACTACTTCACTGAAAAAGCTTGGAAATCTTTGTAACTCTTTACTCCAGAGAGTTGTGGATGCTCCATTGCTGAGTACATTTGAGAGTGGGTTAGATTTTTGGAGATACCAAGAGCTGCAGATGGTCAAGTCAGAGTCAATACAGTGTGGAGCTGGAGGAACACAGCAGGTCAGGCAGCATCACAGGAGTGAAGGGATTCGGGGAGCCAGTGAGAAGTGGAGTTGAACCCAAGATGGGCCATGATCATACTGAATGGTGAAATATGGTCCACATGGTCTATTCCTGCTCCTGGTTCGTGTGTGTTAAACAGCAGAGTGGGTGTTCTACTTTAAGGAAATTGAAGAGTACACTAGCTGGTAAACAAACTCGGATTGATCAAGAGTTGAATCTATAACTAAACAAGCCCTGGAAACAAAATATATTTAATTTGTCCAGCACTCCTTACATGCAGGGCACTTTACAAGGCAGTAGAGAAGCAGCTGACACTGAGCAGAAGGTGGTGAAGGTCTTCAGGGGCTATTTAAGGCAGGAAATGAACTGAAAAGACAGACCTGCTAGAAGCTATTAACTGAAGGAGTGATATTGACAGTGGATTAGTTGTTGCACAGAACAAAGAATAGTTTTGTGTTGGATGACTGGAATGTGTAAGCAAGAAGTTACTGATTAGTTGAGGCCAAAATGTCCCTGCCATTGAAGGTTAGGACTTACCTTCAATTATCTGGGAATCTAATGCAACTTGACAAGGAGAGTGATGCAGACATTGGGTGGGGATGAGGACATAGGCTAAAGTGTTTTGGAGATATTAAGGTGTCTATCAATACAGTGGAAAAGAAATAAGATCATTAGAAGTTTAAGCTACACAGTGAAGTGAAAAAAAGCAATCTTACAGCTCCAAAGAGAGAAAGAAGCTGGAATCAAAGTCAGGCAGCACTTCAATATTTTGGCCAAACAATTGTCAATATTCTGATACATGTTCCAATTATCAGTTGTGAAAAGCACAGTACAGTATGATCTTTAAAAGCAGTAATGTTGTGGTCCAACACCAATTCTGAGGAATTATCAAGGTCAGCTAATCTGCATAGTTGGGTTTGCCTCCAGTGTCTCAAAATCATCTTGCTGATTAAAATAATCCAGTACACCAGTCATTTCCATAATGATGTGTTGACAGGATGCAAGCCCAGGTCTTTCTCATAACCAAGGAAACATTAACTCCAAATAAGTAAACATACTGCGATGTCATCTAACCTGTCAAGAGCTCCTAACCACAAAGTATTGTACAGAAATCTGTGTTGCATATTTCCATAAAAACAAAGAAAGAGAACACACCTAATCAACATCTTTAAGTGGTATTCATACAATGAAAGTGGAAGAATGTAATATAGCTTGTGTGGGTCTTCAAATCCCAAAAGATCTTACTCATTACAACATTGACTGGGATGACACTACAGATCCTTACTAAAGTGAATATCCATACGAAACAAAAATTATGTTGCTGAAGACAGTGACATTAAACCAAAAGGGCTTGTACCCATCAGGATAGACACAACAATGTTAAATCATCAATAAATTTACACCCAAGGAGAAATACAGATCTGATTTGTTAGCAAGTTGACTTTTGATTGAGTGAGGTGGTGTTATACAGTAAACTACAGGGAATTATATAGGCATCAGGTCATGTAGAATTTGTTTAAAAAAATTCATTGACATGATACGGGCATTGCTAGCTAAGCCAGCAACCGTTAAACAAACACAGAGAATGCTGGAAGATCTCAGCAGGTCTCATAGCATCTGTGAAGAGAGAAACAGAGTTTCAAGCACAGTATGATTCTTCTTCAGAATAATTCTGTTTTTCTCTCCACAGATGCTGCCAGATCTGCTGAGTTGTTCTAGCATTCTGTATTTGTTTCAGATTGCCAGCATGTGCAGTATTTTATTTAATTATTCAGTCACCCTGATTGCCTGGAGACAGCTACAGCAAACCACGTGCTGGAGTCACATATAGGTCAGACCAGGTAAAGATGGCAGATTTCCTTCCTGAACGGATATTAGTAAATCAGATTACGAGAATCAACAATGATTGCGATATGATATTCCCAATGACATGATTATCATTTTGCTATTTATTCCAGATACTTTTTGTTGTCAGCTGCCATGGTGGATTCAAACCCGTGTCCCCAGAGCTTTAACCTGGAGTTCTGGATTACTAGTGAGGTAGCATAACTACTATGTCACTAATTGCACTAAATAGTGCACAAGTTAAGGTTTGGACATAGTCCTTTCGTTGGCAGAAATTTACACTTGCTAGAAGCAACGTATATAAGCCTCCTTACAGATTTTCCCTAATCAACCTGCTCAGAGATGTTACTACACACTTCTGGAGCAGGTGGGACTTGAAACCAGGTCTCAGAGGCTGGGATACTGCACCACAAGACTCCCTCCTGATCCATCTTACAAGTTTGACTAATTATCTTAAATTAGTTGTTAGTGTGACTGTTAATGCACTCAGGATTATGTGGTCGTGACCCTATCTCAGGATCAGGAGGCCTGGGTTTAAGTCCCATTTATTCCAGAAATGTAGAAAATATTCTGAAATTTTTTTTTTAAGAAAAGGACGAGCTTGTGGTGCAACGATAGTGCGTCTGATTCCAGATGGGAAGGTTTTATTGGCTTAATCAGTAAGGACAAGTAGAAAGGAGCTCCTACAGGACAGGATGCAATTGTGGATGAATTATCCATTAGGACATTGGAGAAGTAGAGAATGGTTGCAGAAGCCAGATGCTGAGGCAAGGACAGAGCTAGCAAAGTTGAAAAATGGACAGCAAAAAACCTTAGTAGTGGATAGAATGTTTTTTTTTGTAAGGTCAGTCTAGTTGAAACAGTATGCAAAAGTTGAATACAGTTGCATTGAGCCTGACAGAACTACAAAGGAAGGTGAAATCAGTAGCAAGAATGTACATTTTTAATTCTGGTTGCCACATTACCAAAAGGATGTGGATGCTTTGGAGAGGGTGCAGAGGAGGTTCACCAGGATGTTGCCTGGTATGGAGGGCGCTAGCTATGAAGAGAGGTTGAGTAGATTAGGATTATTTACATTAGAAAGACAGAGGTTGAGGGGGGACCTGATTGAAGTCTACAAAATCATGAGAGGTAGAGACAGGGTGGATAGCAAGAAGCTTTTTCCCCAGACTGGGGGACTCGATTACTAGGGGTCACGATTTCAAGGTAAGAGGGGAAAAGTTTAAGGGAGATATGCATGGAAAGTTCTTTACGCAGAGGGTGGTGGGTGCCTGGAACGCATTGCCAGCGGAGGTGGTAGAGGCGGGCACGATAGCATCATTTAAGATGTATCTAGACAGATACATGAATGGGCAGGAGCAGAGGGATACAGATCCTTGGAAAATAGGCGACAGGTTTAGATAGAAGATCTGGATCAGCACAGGCTTGGAGGGCCGAAGGGCCTGTTCCTGTGCTGTAATTTTCTTTGTTCTTAACAGCGTTTGGACATAAGAGGTGATGGCGCACCCACAACAAAATGATGGTTATGACACTGAGAAAAATGCAGAACAACAAGCATGTATCATTAGCATACTAATGGAAGCTGACTCTCTGTCTATGGTTGGTGTCACCAAGAAGAAGCATGTAAATGAATAAGAGGAGGCCACAGAGGATGGATTCTTAAGAGAATAAAGAGGTGAATATATAGGGGTCACTGTAGTCATGACAGCTGTAATGAGGAAAACTATGGAGGAAATGGATATTTTAATCAACTGTGTAGAATGTTGAAGAGACGGGAGGATATGGAGTTATATAGGAACTGTGCTGAGTTTCTTCTGACAGTCAATCTGCAGTGGGCAGGATGTAAAGCATGCTGAAAGGCAATAATGGAGAGTTGTAGGAGAGGTGAGCATATAGCCTCTAAGTAGAGTCATAGAGATGTACAGCACAGAAACAGACCCTTTGGTCCAACTTGTCTATGCCAACCAGATATCCTAGGTAAATCTAGTCCCATTTGTCAACATATGGCCCATATCCCTCTAAAGCCTTCCAGCTCATATACCCATCCAGATGCCTTTTAAATGTTGTAATTGTACCAATCTCCACTTCCTCTGACAGTTCACCACCCTCTGTGTGAAAAAGTTGGCCCTTAAATCTTTCCCTCTCACTTTAAACCTATGCCCTCTATTTTGGACTCCCCACCCCAGGGAAAAGACTTTGATATTTACCCTATCTATGCCCCTCATGATTTTATAAACCCCTACAAGGTCACCCCTCAGCCTCCAATGCTCTAGGGAATATAGCCCCAGCCTATTCAGCCTTTCCCTATAGCTCAAACCCTCCAACCCTGGCAACATCTTTGTAAATCTTTTCTGAACCTTTTCAAGTTTCACAACATCCTTGCTATAGCAGGGACACCAGAAGTAATTAAATATTCATTAACTTTGACAAGAATGGGAGTGTACAGATTGGGAAATGGATGAAAAGGGAAGCTTTTGAAGGTAGGGAAGGCTGCAGCACGGCAAAGATGTTCAAGAAGAGAATTTGAGTGGGCAAGATACTGCAAGAAAACGTTCTTCAGATACATTTTGCTCAAGAGGTAATGACTCTTCAGTGCCTTCAGTGATTTTACTGCAATGCAACCCTTTACATGTTGTTGCAAAATATCTACCTTAACCCTCCCAACATGTTCAAATTCACTTGAAATTTTCAGGTACAGAAGTATCTTTATCCACAGAAGTTTTCTGGCTTATTATGCCACTTTGGCTCCATCGGGGACGACTCTGTCACTGTATCTTGACTACATATGGAAACTCTCAGGTGAACAAAAAAGACAGAATTACAAACCTGCTGAACATTTCAGTTCCTTCATGAAGTAGTGTGTGTTTTTTAAGTAATTTTTTCTGTATATTTAAAGGACAGCACAACACAATTGGTAAAATTAAATTTATTTCTAGGAGTTACCTGCAAAATTAATAAATATGATAAAGAAATGCACTGGAATGGCAGTTGCTACTCACTAATACTGAATTCATTGTACCCTCTATCTCATGGACCTATACAGCAAAGCATAATAGACACCAAAACAAATGGAAATTTTCTAAAAGGTCTTTCCAGTTTTAGATTTACTTAAAAATCTTCCCTTCCATTTCATTCATAAATGCCGACACTGCCTTAGCTCACTGCTGTAACCCTCAAACAGCCATTAATGTGAAGTACCAGGTAACATAGTCTCTTTTAAGCTGCATAAAAAGGAATGTGCAACTTTAAAGCATTGGCATTTTTTTCTAATTCAATGGATCCAAATGCTTCAAGAATACTGAAAGAGATCAAACAATATTTATATTTGTGCCTCTTTGTTATTCTCTTCCTGTGAACCTGGTACAATTCCTCTCGTCTCCTCATTAAAAGGTCATTTCATATTTCATCAGCAGAAAGATTTTATTTTTGAAAAATCTGTTTAAGTTTAAAAAAAAAAGACATTTCCAAAGAAACTGCAGGAACTGAAAACAACTTCAAAGCAGGGCAAATAAAAATCACCAATGGCTTGAAATGTAGAACTAAATCATCTGACCCAGAATAAACGTTCACCTATTTAATACTTTACTGTTCCACCAGATGGCAGAACACCCAAGAGAATCACTGCGTTCTGTCCCTTCTCATCATGATTTTTGCTGGGAAAGAATCAGAATGAGCAGGGTCCCATAGGTCACAGCTGTGGAGTCATCCAAACCGTTATTGTAACAGTAGCCTCAAGTACACAAAGGTTTTCTAAATGACATCACAGTGTTTCAGCGGTTAAAATGTAAAGTACATTGCTTCATATTAGCCTAATGTGTCCTTTTCCTTCATTATAAAATAATTCCCAGACTTTACACTTAGTTTGGAATGTAGCTTTTTCTAACTGTAGAGACAGTAACCTTTAGCGCACTCACGTTGGCTGCCTGTCCTTTGTAACAGCCACGCTCACCAACAAAATGGAATAAATCAATGGGGTGATATCAGTATCCAGTTCTTTGTAAACATTTGTTCCATCAATCTGAATCAGAAAGGAGCACCTTTAGGCTTTAGATCACACTCACAGGAGGTTTACAGTTTATCACAAAGGCAAAAGTTTACAAATCGAACAATTCCTGGGTCGCCAATTAATTCAGGTAAAAGGCTCCCTTGACTGACAATGCTCCTCATTACTCAAGGAATCGATCATGCATGGGCTCCAGACAGAATAAACCGTTGTATAACAATGATAGATAACGACTTCTTCACCACTGGCATGGTACAATCCATTGGGGGACCACTTGCAATGGTTTAAAGGGCTTGTTCTCAATAATAAAACAAAGGTTTTGATGATTGAAAACATTCCAAATAAAAACAAAAACTGGACTTTGTTCATTTGTGAGCAACTTCCCACAGGTAGCATATTACTCCATCTGAGACGACTTCTTACAATGCAGTAATTTATAACCGTAATGATCAGCACAGTTCAGCCGGCAGAAGAGAAATTCCATTCGGACCTCCCTCTAATACTGCATTACTTTAGCACCTGATTCTGTGTTAAGGGCATCCCTGGGAAGAACAGAAGCCCATGATCACACAGTGATAGGTCCACTCATGATATCGCCATAACCATGTAAGCAAAGTGAGATCCTGTTATTTTCCGGCTTCCTCCAGTCAGTTTATGACGCACCAAGGAGTTTCATTCAGGTCACATTCCAGTAGGATGTTAATGATGAGGCAGTGTACCCCTTCAATTGTCAGCTCTGTTCTGGACACAACACTGTACTTCAAGTTTTTTAAACCACCTTCTTTGTCAATTTTAAACTGCTCCTGAAGATAAAAGAGATGAAACACACACACACACATATATATAAAGAACAGCAAATTTAGCACGTTCAGAACTGAAAAAGGGTTCTGAAGAAGAGTTACTGGACCCGAAACGTTAACTATGTGTCAACATAACCCCAAGATAAGCAGATTAATAACTGCCCTGGGAAGCTATCACATATCTCTCTATGATTAGTAGCTTTAAGAGAAAATTGCTTTCCTGATCTATGAGCCAAATTAATTCATGAGAAGGGCAAAAATGGGAATAAATAGAACTATAACTAGCTTGTAAAAGCAATATACAATGGATGCTGGAAATCTGAAGCAAACTCAGAGAAAGATGGAGAAAGTGTTAACATTTCAGGTGTGGTATGACCCCTTGTTTTGAAGGAGAATTACAGTCTGAGAGGACCATAGGGCTGCGCTCTCATTAGAGAGAGATGACTGGTTGTGGTTTAACCTGAAGATCACTACACTTCAAGATAGGGAAGGTGGGGCCTTCATGGTAACCTCAGTTAGTATGAGAACTGAACCCAGGCTGTTGGCATCACAAACCAATTGTCCAATCAAATGAGCTATCCCCTCAGTTGGACCAGAAAGTACAGATAATTGCAGAATGCAGAATAAAACATCCTCCACTTGGTCTTTGCCAGACTGATGATTGCTTTTCCACTCAAATTGTCACTATTATTACTAAAACAAGGGAGACTTGAGTTTATACAGTGCATTGGATGATCAGCACTTTATAACGAACGAAGCACATCTGAAATGGCCACTGCTGCAATATGGGAAACGCAGAAGCAAACTCCCACACAGAGTGATAATGACCAAATAATCTGTGCTTTTGAGATACCGATTGAGAGATAAGTATTGTCCAGGGGACCAGGGATAAACACACTGCTTTTTTGTGAGGTGGTGCCATGATATCTTGTCCATCCATTCTTACAGGTAGATGGCAATTTGGTTTAATGCCTGATCCAAAAGGCAGCAATCCAACAACACAGCACTCTCTCAGCACTGCACTGAAGCATTCAGTCCTGAGTTTTACATTCAAGCCCTGGAGAAGGGCTGAAATCCACAGCTTGAGAGTCAAGGGCGAGACTACTGTCAACTGAGCCACAGTCAACAGCGTACAGGACATCTCTTACTTCAATCCAAGATGTTGCTGACTGCAGTGCATTTTTCCCTCTGATGTGTTGCACATGCTGATTGCAGTACATTCTCTATTGGGATGCATTTGGTGGCTGCAGGAAAACCCCAATTGTACCTGTTGGTGCTGACAGACTGGGCTTGTAATGAATTATAGTGCAGGCTTAAAGGGCCGAATGGCCTACTGCTGCTCCTATTTTCTGTTTCTATTTTGGGGGGGGAAGGCAGGTGAAGTTCTGGAAGTTGCTGGGCAAACCAACAAGCACATTCACAGTCTCAGTGGGTCAGGGTCACGGAAGACTCTAGGTTACAGAGTGTGTGTTTCACCTCCAGTGACCCCAGAAAGGGTCACTCTCTTCCAGGTATGCCCACCGTGAAGACGTTCTGCTCCTTGGAAGGTTCAGTGGACACAAAACTCTGCTCCCTGCCCACAGATCTACTGAGTTTCTCCAGCAATTCCTGTTTCTAACGCAGATCTCCAGCATACCGCAGTTCTTTGTTTTCGATGAGAGAGTTTGTGTGTGGCTCAGTGGAATTGTGGGTGGGAGGCTCTGAGAACTGGAATGTGGAATTTAGGGTGGCAGTGAGAGGGAGAATTTGTGCTGGGGACTTATATGGGAAAGGGAGCAGGTGTGTGTGTGAGTGTGAGTATAGGGAATGTGAACAGGAGTTTAGATTTAGATTTTGTCACATGTACTCAAGTACAGACGTTGTGGAAGTTGCTGAGCAAACCAGCAAGCACATTCACAGTCTGAGTGGGTCAGGGTCAGCGCCATCTTAGGTGTGTGTGTGTGTGGTGGAAATGAGAGGGAGAGTGTCTATGGTTTGTTGGATGGGTTACAGTTGGATGGAAGTGAGAGAGGGAGTGGAATGTATTTAAACACAGATGGAGTCACTCCTGGCTCATACCCGATTTCCCTTCAGCCTCCTTGTCTTGCCCACAGAAAACAGGTCGGGAGAGGACGAGAACTCCAGCTGAATGGAAAACTGCTTCTGATTCTCAGTTTGAATGAATTCTGCCAAGGCCACCTTGGATACTCACCACCGGGGGTGGGGGGCTGGTGGGTGTGGTAAGGGCAGTGAAAGCAAGGTTACAGTCACTTAAAATCACCACCTTAGCCCTGGCTGCCCCAGCGATCAGGACTGGGGACTCTCTCATTCTGCTTCTCAACAGCAAAGACAAAAACAGCATTATTAGTTAGCTCTGCTGCTTGGCACTTTTTAAATGGACGTTTCTATTCATTTCCCATTTATTTAAAATGATTAATTTAAATGCTTTTGAACTGGTTATTTTTTAAATTTGTGTTTACTGTTTTGCCTCAGCTTTCTGAACATTTACTCTCTGGTCCCCTGAGAGAGCGAGAGAGAAATTGAAATTTGGATCCCCTGATATGTGAGTGGGTTGGAAAATCCTGTGATAAAGAGATTGTACATTCCTTACCTGCTTCTGTCTTGACACTCTCTTCTGGTCTCGCTTCCTCCATGCTGGGTCATGGATATGTTTGAAAGTTTGATACCCAGTTTCAATTCCAGTAGGTCGATACAGCTAGAGATTTAAAATAAAAACAAGATACAGGTCTCTTGTACAGTAGAAAAACCACAGTCCATTTTATGTTATTAAGGCAGATAATTTCAGAAAAGGCACAATTAGACATGGCTGAATAGATTAAATGTCATAATGAAATTGCAAGACCTTGCTAACTGTCTAATGCAGAGACAATTAACAAGTCTCTCAATAACCTTGTTCATACAGAGAGTCGCATGTTATTTTTTTGCAGGGCCAGGAACAGGAGCATTCCGTGGGGGGGGCTGGAACAGATGCCTGTGCTTTCGCAATGCAGTAATCAGAGGGGCAGCAAGGGTCAGGTATGGGAGGCAAAGATATACAGCAAGTGCAGGTGGGACAATGTCCACTCAGCAATTAAACCACTGGTGTGAGAAAACAAACACACGTGCCAGCACACAGAGTGGGATCGTAAGGAATAGGAGAAAAGGGAGGCCTCTTGGCCCAACAAGCCTTCTCTGCCATTCAATAAGGTCACATCTCATGGAATCATAGAACCCTACAGTGTTGAAGCAGGCCGTTCAGCCCATTGAGTTCACACCAACCCTCCGAAGAGCAGGCCAATCAGACCCACCCCCGCGACCCAATCTCTGTAACCCTGCATTTCCCATGGTTAACCCACCTAGCTTGCATGTCTTTGGATGCCGAGGGCAATTTAGCATGGCCAATCCACGTAAACTGCACATCCTTGGACTGTGGGAGGAAACTGGAGCACCTGGAGGAATCCCACACAGATACAGGGAGAATGTGCAAACTCAACACAGACAGTCACCCGAGGCTGGAATTGTAGCTGGGTCCCCAGCACTGAAACACTAACCTCCGAGCCACCGTGCCACACTTCTGGTCTCTTTCTGGTCCCACCTCCACTTTCCCAGCTTCCCTTCATAACCATCAATGTCAATTTGAGTTTGATTTATTGTTGTCACATGTACCGAGATACAGTGAAAAATGTTTTTTGCACTATACAGTCAGATCGTACTATACGAAGTACATCAGGGTAACTGAACAGAGTGAAAAATACAGTACTACAGCCGCAGAGAAGGTGCAGTGAGAGAGATCAAAATTTAACATTTGAGAGGTCTGTTCAAATGTCTGATAACAGCAGGGAAGAAGCTGTTCTTGAATCTGTTCATACATGTATTCAAACTTGTATATCTTCTGCCTGATGGCCGAGGGTGGAAGAGAGTATAACTGGGGTGGGGAGGGGGTCCCTTGTAACTTCTGACAACAGTTTGAGGAAGGGGGGAAGCACAGAAGTCCATTTTTCTCAGTTTTAAACTGATTCACAAAATGAAACATTACAAATATATAGCTCTTAACTCTACTATCCAATCACCAGAGTCAATCAGTATTTCTTCATACCTTTTTTTTAAAACAAATTAAACAGTTAACTTGAAAAGCTAACCCTCAATGGAGTGCTGTAACAAAAACCAATTCATCATGAGAAACCTCAAAACTAAATTAAAATACTTCTCAAGGTGATGATGCACTTCAGTTCCTATGCAACCATCAATGTGGAAGTCTCTCTCAATATTATTTTGAATTAATAACCAAATTAACTAATAATAGCCCCGTAAAGCAACAATGTAATAAAAATGAACCCTGCAAAAGGAGACTTAAAGCAAAATGCCATTCACAGTGCTGATGACGCGCTCCAGCACCAGTACAGTCCACCATTCACAGAGGGTCTTAGCATATCCGAAACCTTAGCATTTCCGTATCAGGCAAGGTTCTAGTTCACACACACAGACCTTCCACGACCCATTGCCCTGATGCATTAACAACCAAGTGGGACAAGCCCAGGAACATACCAATGAGGAGACCCACCCACCGCCTGGGCAAAGCCAAGTGCAGAGGGCTGAGGCACAATCAAAAGGAACTTTCTCAAAGCAAATGAAAGAGGGTCTGCAATCTTGTGTAACCCTTGTAACCATGGAATACACGGACAAGCCCAAAAGTAAAACACAAGCAGCCCGGGTGTCGTCGAACTTCGGAATCTCCCATTACACAGGACAGCTTTACGCAACATCCTCCATGCCAAATCTTCAAAGATAAAAGAGAGCACCCCACATTACCAGCCTCCCACTGAGGAGTGTAGGCACCTCCAGAGGGCAGGATGAAATGTCATGAGGTGTCTGGGTGTTTGATGAGGGTGAGAAAATGCAGGCAGTAGTACAGGAAACCCCTCCTTACAGAGTGGGGGATTTCTGTGAGACAGCTCAAACTGGGGGGCGTAGGTTCCCAAAGGAAGTTTCAGGATTGACAGCCAATCTGAAATTCTGTCCAAAGTAAAAACCGAAAAAAAACTGTGGATGCTGTAAATCAGAAACGAAAACTGAATTGCTGGAAAAGCTCAGGAGATCTGGCAACATCTGTGGAGAGAGATCAGTGTTAACGTTTCGGGTACAGCGACTCTTCCTCAGAACGCCTCAGGTCTGAGGAAGAGTCACTCGACCCGAAATGTTAACTCTGATTTATCTCCACAGATGCTGCCAGGTCTGCTGAGCTTTTCCAGCAATTTCTGTTTTTGTTTGAAATTCTATCCAGTTTAGACAAGAGTCCACAACATACCCGAGGTGCCTCAAAACTATGAGCGCTGTCAGAACCAACCAGGCTACAAATGGCATTGGCTTGCAAGCTCAACACTAAGATGTTTGACGCATCAAGTGTCCTTACAAAAATAATCTGCAAAGCATGATTGGGAAATTTGCAGATGACAAAAAAGTTGGCTGTGCAGTTGATAGTAAAGACTGCAGGATAATATCAATAGTTTGGTTGAGCAGGCAGAACAATGGCAAAAGGCATTCAAACTGGACAAGTGCAAGGTTACACATATGGGAAGGGCAAACAAAATAAGTGAATAGACAAAAAATAACAGGGCATTGAGAATATAACGAGAGTGAGATTTCTTGGAGAGCACGTTCACAAATCCCTGAAGTTGGCAGAACAAGTTGATAAGGTTGATAAGGTCCAGGTCCATTGTACCCTGAAGGTGGCAACGCAGGTCGATAGAGTGGTCAAGAAGGCATACGGTATGTTTTCATTCATCAGACGGGGTATTGAGTACAAGAGTTAACAGGTCATGTTACAGTTGTATAGGACTTTGGTTCGACCACATTTGGAATACTGTGTACAGTTCTGGTCGCCACATTACCAAAAGGATGTGGATGCTTTGGAGAGGGTGCAGAGGAGGTTCACCAGGATGTTGCCTGGTACGGAGGGCGCTAGCTATGAAGAGAGGTTGAGTAGATTAGGATTATTTACATTAGAAAGACGGAGGTTGAGGGGGGACCTCATTGAAGTCTACAAAACCATGAGAGGTATAGACAGGGTGGATAGCAAGAAGCTTTTTCCCCCAGAGTGGGGGACTCGAATACTAGGGGTCACGATTTCAAAGTGAGAGGAGAAAAGTTTAAGGGAGATATGCGTGGAAAGTTCTTTACGCAGAGGGTGGTGGGTGCCTGGAACGCGTTGCCAGCGGAGGTGGTAGAGGTGGGCACAATAGCGTCATTTAAGATGTATCTAGACAGGTACATGAATGGACAGGGAGCAGAGGGATACAGATCCTTGGAAAATAGGCAACAGGTTTAGATAGAGGATCTGGATCGGCGCAGGCTTGGAGGGCCAAAGGGCCTGTTCCTGTGCTGTAATTTTCTTTGTTCTTTGTTCTCTTTGTTCTAGAGATACCATGTGGATGCTTTCCTTCATTGAGCAAGGTATTGAATACAAGAATGGGGATGTAATGCTGGAATTATAGAAGATAGCTGAGGTTGTGTACAGAGTTCTGGTCAAATGATTACAGAAAGAATGTAATTGCTCTGGAGAGAGTACAGAGGAAATTTACGAGAATGTTGCCAGCATGTGAAAATTAGAGGTATGAGGAAACATTGAATAGGCAAGAATGTTTTCCAGGTAAAAGAGGCGGCAGAGAGAGGACTTAATTAATACGTACAAAATAATGAGGGGTTTAGATAGAGTGGACAGGGAAGATCTAGTTCCCATAGGGGCACAATTAAGGAGCTTGGTGCAAGAATGACAGAGGACATGAGGAGAAACATTTTCACTCAGAGGGTGGTGGGTGCGTGGAAATCACTGCCCAATTTGGTGTTGGAGGCAGAAACCCTCAACTCATTGAAAAAGGTACCTGGATGTAAAGCTGAAGTGCTGTAACAATCAAGGCCACAGTCCAGGGACTGGGAAGTGGAATTAGAATAGCAAGCTAATTTATGCGGCCAGTGTAGACATAATGAGATGAATGGCCTCTTTCTGTGCTGTAACTTTGATAGTTTAATCTGTTTGGGTGTGTTGTTACACATTTATACATAACACCTCCTGAGATGGGTCTTAAAGCCAGACTTTCTGGCCCACAAAATGGGAACAGTGCAGCTTCTCCCACTAAGATAAGTATGTCTTAACAATATTTCTGGTCAGTTTCAAGCAGGAATCTATCATGTGCTCTGCCAATGTGATTGCCACTACACTACAAGACACAGGAGCAGAAATTAGGCCATTTGGCCCATCGAGTCTGCTCCGCCATTCAATCATGCCTGATAAGTTTCTCAACCCCATTCTCCCACTTTTTCCCCATAACCTTTGATAATCTTAATTATCAAGAACCTATCTATCTCTGTCTTCAATGTACTCAATGACCTGGCCTCCACAGCCTTCTGTGGCAGTGAGTTCCATAGACTCACCACTCTCTGGATGACAAAGTTTCTCCTTATCTCCATTTCTAAAAAGTCTTCCCTTTACTCTAAGGCTGTTCCCTCGGGTCCTAGTCTCCCCTACCAATGGAAACATCTTCCCAACATCCACTCTGTCCAGGCCATTCAGTATTTAGTAAGTTTCAATTAGATCACCCCTCATCCTTCTAAGCTCCATCG